GAAGCCCTCTACTGCCAAAAGCTCCTGTTACGTGTTCTCCATGACCCCTAATTCATCACATTTAAAAAATAGTGCTTATTTTCTGGTTCAAAAGCCAGCTTATTTTAATGGCTACCTGCCAGCTTGAATGAAGAAGGTGTCAAGGTACCCCCCAGAAGTGTCCTACCTCCTACTGAGCATGTGAGATTGCAGATCTACACGTGGGCTGCTGGTAAGTAATTTTAAGGGCTCAAACCTGCTCATCTCCAGTCCACCTCCCGAAACCAATTTATGATTTGTGAGGTAGCCCAGAAAGCAGAGTCACAGGTGGTGAAGTGCTGCATCATCCTGAGGATTCTTACACAGCATGAGGGTGCCAGCAGCCTCCTGTTTGGTACTGCGCCATTTCAACTGCACTGGAGCACAAACACCAGTCCTGGAGACTCTTGATGAACCTGCAAAGACTTCCGAATGACCTGGAGACAGACACTTGCATGAACAAGTGTCTTGCATCTCCCTGATGCCAAAGACCAGTCAATGATGAATCTCAGATGTCAAAGGCTGAAACCACCCAATTTTTCTGCCAACTAGTCCAGTGCTGTTGCATTCTTTGAATGTCAAAGCATGGAAAACATGGATGTCTTTGAAACATCAGTCCTGGGAAAACCAAAGTCTGCCAGAGAATTTAAGGAAAGGTTCTTTGTTTAAAGAAAGGATTCCTGAGGTTGTCTGGGTAGAAAGGTCTCATTCATGGAACAACAGAACAAAATAAACAATATAGGGTTTCTCCTAGTGCAGGGTGAAGCTGGGACTTCTAGAGGCAGCATTGAATCTACAGTGTGTCCTTAGAGAGAAGATAGAACTTCTGTAGACTGCCATGAAAGGACATCTGTGAAACTGCCAAGAGATTCTGATGATCCAGGCCCAACTCTCCCTTTTAGGCAAGGTATTTAACAGTGACAAAAGTAAAGATGGTTGGAGGCAGACCACTCATCCCCGGCCCATGGAAATCACTGCCATAGGCTGGGCCTGAGCCCTGAAGGACTGCATTTATTTATCCAAGAGGTTTCAACAGCTGAGTTTGCTACAGAGAGGGGAATGGGCTTCTTGGGAAGGATTTCCATCCGGGCAGCAAAGTCCCGGTGCAGCGAGGACAGAGTGTTCCTAATGACTCATTAACTCGGCTGTTCAGCACAGCAATAAGCCCTGGATAAGGAAAGAGCCAAGAGCAGCCCTGATTGCCAGAGATGGGTGGGGTAGAGCAGAGGTCCCTGCTTCAGCTCCTGACAAAACCTTTCACCTTTACTCCTCACAACCAGATCTCCACCTCGGTGGCACCGCGAGCACAGCCAGCTCTGGTACCACTGGGAACAAAACCAGGGAATGGCATATTTCTGGCAAAAGCCATGGAGGCCCAAAGCTGCAGGGCCTGGAGAAAGTCTCCTGGGGCGCACTGTGCGAGCAGGGCCACGCTGAACGCGCTGCGATAACATTGTGTGCCGAGGCTGGCACACGCTCCAGCTGAACTCACAGGAGGAAAACGCCTCCCACCCCGCACAGCCTCGGCAGTCACATCCACAGATCCTCGCATGCCCCACCCAGCCAGCCCTGCTGCCCTGCCGGGCTGTCCTCCGCTGCCCTGGGCCAGGGCTGGCTCACAAGTGGCCATTGTGTTTCCTAGGAAGTTCTGTCGCTGCTACAGCACGCTGTGTGCAAAGGCTCAGAGCCTCTGCTGGCACCAACTGATGCTGTCCCAGCCTCCACCTGCAGCAACACCCATCCTTCTCCTGCTCTCAGACCTCACACATTGCCCCTCTGACTCTTCCACAGGCACAGACTTGGCCTCTGACAAAGTTTAAGTCTGAGGGGAATAAGGTAATAAATAAAGCAAAACCAGGCATTATGGGAATATAGCTTTTCCACCAAAAAAAAAACAATTAGTATGTTCATTGAGATAGCAGAAGGAAAATCTCATTCTGTTTTGGCCAAGAAATACAAGAGAGTAACAAGGTTTAAAGTTTAAAATGAACCATATATAATGGGATGTAAAAGGACAGAGCCATAGATGATAGGATGTAAAAGGAATGCCTTGATTTGGCTAGAAGAGAATTAAAGCACCATTGATAAATGACAATTAGTCATCACTGACCACTTCACTGGACACTAATGGAGCTTCATTTACTTTGGGATATCAGAGCAATATTATTTTATTATCCAATAAAAAGGTGAAGCAAACACTGGTGAGTGTTTGCACAGGGCAGGGTGAAAAGGAGCAATGCCTGGGCTGAGAGGGGATGCCTTTGCCTCTTGCCCTGAGGTCCCAGTTCTCAACCCCAGAGCTGCCAACAGCCGTGAGCCAACATCTGACTGTAATGCCAGAAAGAAGTGGCATGATCATGAAGACCCACATCTTCACAAACTTGTGTCAGAAAACTTGGCAGAAATCCTTCCCATCTCTACAAGGGTCCAATTTCTGACAAGAATCCAGCCACAACTTTAAAGCCTCGTGGGAAGGATCCTCCAAAAGCCTCCCTCTGACTGTAATGCCAGAAAGAAGTGGCATGATCATCCAGACCCACATCTTCACAAACTTGCATCAGAAAACTTGGCAGAAATCTCTACAAGGGTCCAGTTTCTGACAAGAATCCAGCCATAACTTTAAAGCCTCATGGGAAGGATCCTCCAAAAGCCTCCCGGAGTTTTTCTAGTGGTTAATTACAGATGATGTTTAAAAATAGTGGATCTTCTCACATCATTTCTGGGGATTTTAAATCCAGTTTCACATTCCTGTTTTTGGGTCTTAGTGCCCCTCAGTCTGCTAGACCACAGGAAGTTTTTTCTCCTTGTAGGTACATATAGACACTGAAAATAGTTACCCTTCAGCTTTCCCTTTTCACCCCACCTCTTGAACCTCTTTTACTGGAAGGCACACTTCCAATTCTTTAACACCCTCAGGCATTGTCCCTGAAACCTCTTCCATCCAGGAATTACCAACAAAAGCACTAAACAGAGAACATGGGAAGTGACATGTTAGTGCTAAATCACACACTCAGCCCTTCCTAGAACCATTCAGTTTGAGGTTATTTACTGAAATCTGCATGGGTTCCCCCAGCTACAGCATCCTCCTGGAATTCTGCAGTCAGCCAATGAGCTGCAGCAGCCCCCACTCCTTCCTGAGACAGACTTGCCAACTGATAAATGCAGCCTGTATTCCTTATTCTTCAACATGTGACTTACAGCAGCTAATGTTATGCTTGGCTCCATCCTTCTGAGTCATCCAGACTATTGCAGTAATGTTCTTTGGGTTTGTGGTTGGGATTTCTTTTTTAATTTTTTTTTCCAGATCACTGATTTTTGAGTCATTCCTACTGATCAGTTCCTATCTTGCTGTCTTGCTCAATAGCACTGAGCCACAAATTATCAACTTTCCAACGTTTACTCCTGCTTACAACTACACATCTCCACCCATCTGGAGAGCTGATGGGTTTCCCGTAAAGTCCTAACATCTGCACTGCAAAAAAAAGCAACAAACCTCTCTAGAAGCACTGTAGCAGCACCACTTATTCCTGCCTCAGCCTACCTCGTGTAATTTGACTCTCAGAGCTTTAAGTAAAGTCAGCATTTGATGAATGTTTCTGTAGAGCCTACCACAAACAGGACCCTAATGAAGAAAGTTTTCCCCTCTCTGGCTGGGACAAAAACAAGCTTAAGCCCACTCTCAGCTCCATCCTGTGTCAGAAAAAACAGCCTCACTGCACACTGAAATACAGGATTTCCACAGGACTGGGCAACAGGGAGATGCATGACCTGCAACAGGGGAGGTGAATTAGGAGGTTAGACAGTCACAGTTTTCTTTATAATGTTGTATACCCAAACCTCTTCTCACATCATCTTTTCAGCTGTTAAATACACAAATATGGGATTACATTTCCATGCCTGGTTGCCTCAGGGGCAGTATACAAATTACAAATAAGCAAATATATGGATTCCTTGACTTCCAAGGGATTTTTTGAGATTAACTACTTAACCCCTAATTACACCAACACTAGCTGGCTAATGAATAAGGTGAGACAACACCCTTGGCTGGTAAAATTCACAATGGAAAAAAAGGAATTTCGTCCCATGCAGGAAAAAGGCTCATGGATCTGGCAGTCTTACTGTACAGATTTCCCATCTGAGAAAAAGGAATATCTGAAGTTTCACATTTTACTGTAGGATCACTGTACAAGAAGGTATGAAATCACATGGTTTTGCTCTGTGCAAACAAAGGGTCCAGGTGAAACAGGTCCTACCTGGACAGACACTTTTCCCCCCTCTGTCATAGCTGATGAGTGTGAGAACAACCTACCTCCTAGAAGATTTTAGTTTAGCTGTAAGGGACACTTGTGTTCCTGCATCATCCAAGTGGTTTGCATTTCAGTAGCCTTCACTTCAGTCCCCTGACTAGGACCAGGCAAAACAGAGCAATGCCTTACAAATAATTCCAAAGCACCAACACCCTGCAAACTCTGCACCCCAAGGAATGGCTGTGGCCTGTGGTGGCAGACCCATGGAGATTTTTTATGCCAAAAGCCTACATGCCAAGAACAGCTTCACAGACTCAAGCTGCAGCACCACTGTCTTCAAGCTAGCAAGAGGAGTAAGGATAAACACAGCATCCATGACTACTGCATGTGGCACTTGCCCTGTGATCCACAGAGTAAAATACCAAATGCATTCCCTTGCTCATATCAACCTTCTCATTACTTTGGGGAATACAGGCTTACTCAGAAATCTGATACAGAGGAGCCAGACCATGCCAGAGCCACAGCACCTCCCCCCAGATGAATTCAGGATTGTTATATAGGTGATAAATTCTACTCTCATTGAGAGAGCAGCAGGACTTGGGGACCCATCATTTGTGTACTTGCCCCCACAGAGGCCCTTAGCCTAGCTAGCTGAAAAAATACAGTGTTTATGGAATGTATTTAATGGCTGAGCCACTTCTCCATTGTGCAAAACAATGTTAATAGTTCTCCCACCTTTGTCTAATTATTTTCTTCTTTCCTGCTTTCTTTTTGCTTTGACTCCTTCCCCTTTATGTGTCTGTCTGCTCCAGCTTGATGGGACTTTGCTTTCCTCTTTGGCCCATGACTCTGTCTTCAATACCATCTTCTTGGATGATCTACACCAGTAGCACTGGGCACTTCTGTCCCCACAAGTGATGTGCTTCATCCTCCCCACAAAAGCATATTTCAGTAGTATTAGACCTGTTCAGAAAAGCTGACAGCTCCTGAGCCCTTATTGTTTCACACAGGAAGAGCCTGTTTATAGCCTGGGGCTTGCAAGGAATTTGAAATGCCTTCTTCCTCTTGGAGGGGAAGCAGCTGAAGAGAGCAGGAATCCTGCGTCCCCTCACAAATATCTTGGCATTCCAGATATCAGCCTTACCTTTAGATCCTCCAGCCCAGTAAATATGCTATCACATATCCCAGCATTATCCAGCCTATGCAATCTGATAGGCCACCTATACTGAAGGGGGTGATTAACATCTAAGAAGGGATGGGAGGTGACCTTCCACACAGCCATGATATATTTTTGGGAAGGGCAAGGCAAAGCCAGAAGGTCTTACTAAACTCTTTGATCATTTAAGTTTCTGGTTACCAAATAACCACCAGTATCCTTTCCACAAACACATTTATTCTTAGCTGCATGAATTCTCATCCCCACTTCTGCAACCTTAGTGTCTACTCCCCAGCCATATCTTTCCTCTCAGCTACCCCATCATCACCTCAGCAGCTCCAGTAACCCATTCCCCAAATGCTCTCCTTTTCCTGGCTGAAAACATACCATGCATCTTGCTTGCTGCACCCTTCTCTCACCTTCTACAACATCCCAGTCACTTGACATGAGCAGCCAGCAGGACACACTTTGAAAACTTCCACTTCTAAGACTCCCACACAAAGAAAGTAAGAGAATCTGCTTAATTCATGGAGTTCTCATAGCTTCTCTCGTTCCCCTGACAGTTGTACAGCTGTTACATCTGCTGCTGCTAACTAGACTCGTTTTCAGCAAAGCACAGCAGGAGCTAAAGAAACCTAATTCTGGCAGCATTATAACACCAGAAACACTCCCCCACTTTCATTAACTTCATGCTCTGCTTTTTATTTTCTCTAGTCCCTTTTTTCTTCTCCTCCTCCCTTTTTTGCTGGCACGGTGCACTTTTTCACCAGGTCAGCAGCAAACAGGAGCAGCTCAGCTGGCAGCTCACACCCCCTCACTGCTGCACAAAGAGCAGAGGTGGCTGGCACTGGGTGCCTCAGAAAATACCAGCACCTTTGGGGGATGCCACATCAGATATCCATGGGAAAAGAGTTGTTGAGGGCATGGTTTCATAAGGACATGGATATCACACACCTACCTTTAGCACGTGTATCCATCTGAAAGTTGGACGCACCACCTTGCTGTCTTTCCTGCTCTGTGTACAAGATGGGTGCTGTAAAGCACTCAAGAAAAAAAAGTGATAAAATTATAGTAAGTCAGGCTGGTGGTGATTTGGCCCCATAGGTCAGTAATTAGGTCACACTTCACAAAATATGGGAAAAAAGAAGAAAAAAAATCAAGATCAACACTTTCTCCATTTGACCTCGAGTGCCTTGGACAAAAGGCTCCGCCCTTCAGGCTGGAGCACATTTTAGAATGAAATTGACTCAGATCTGAAGTGGAAGCTCCTTAAAATGTCAAAGAACAACCTGTATGAGATCTAGCCCTGACAGAGGGATCCCAGTGGAGAGAAGCAAGACCTAGATGCCATCCTCAGGCTGTTACAAAATACAGACTTTGAGGGCATTGCTGACAGAGACCAGAGACAAGGGGACATCGATGGGATGGGAATCCGAGTATTGCTCTCAAAGGGCTAACAGTGGGTGCCAGGTAGCACACTGGCAACAAACATCTTCTATTCCCTTGCCCAACTCTCAGCTGGGCAGACAATCAGTATCCATGACAAGGCAGATTAGTTATTCACTGTTTCCAAGGTGTTGTGGTCTCAACCCTGCCTAGTATAAACAGAGTCAAAAAATTAAAAATTACCAACAATATTGACATGCAGTATAATAAATTTTGAAGGCTTGGAAAAAAGGCATAGAGGCATTTTCAATCAAACACTATAGACCAAAAGTCAGGTTTCAGAGGAGAAAATTACGAGATTTCATAGGTTCATGTGCAAGGCAGGACTTAGGCACAGTACCAGGCGTGAGGATCTGAGTGTCACTGTCAGGGAGGAGAGTGGAAGTGCTGGGGGTGCTGAAGAGTGGTGCTCTTGGGAAAAGGCCCAGGTTTCCCACACAGAGTTCCAGATGTTGGTGGGGGATGACAGAAGATGATGGAGAAATGGTGAGGCTCTGAAATAGAGCTAGCACAAGATGTTGGGCAGAAACAAAAGAAAGCAGAAGAGGAGAACACTTCAAAAGTACAGAAAATATCAAAGTTGGTGGGGAAAAAAGTGAGAGACTCCTAAAGGTGACTGGGACAACAGTAGATATTCCTGTGAGAAGAGCTTTGGGACTGCGATTTTGAAAATAAACTTTGAGGTATCCCTGCAAGTATTGGAGAATAAGAACTTGGCAAAGCTCATGTCAATACAGGGAATATGGAAGGAGTTTGCTCCATTCTGCAAGTTTGCAGCATGTGGAAGTGATTACAGGGATGATTCCAAGAGCAATGCTATATAAGAGATCTGGGTTAATAACATTCAATAATAACATAGTACAGAGTAGAGCTGTAGCCAAAGAAGAAAAAAAAATATATGCCAAGAGCTGCATAAGCCTATTTTCTGAATAAGACATAAAAGAAGGACAGCAAGTCAAATTGAAACCTTTCATTGATTTCTCTGCAAGTTTCTGTTGTTAACTATAATTCCTTTCTCTAAAGCAGTCCCTTGTTTCACCTTTAATCGCTTAAAATATTTGGACCAGTAAAGGTGAAATCAAAACTTCAACCACAAAAAAAAGTAAAGGAGTTTGACTCCATATTCTGTGGTAAAAAGTTTAGAGGTTTTTTCTCAGCAAGGAACTCTGGCATCATGGATTTTCTCTCCAGTTCAGGAATGACACTAAGTTTAAAACCCTTTAATTTTTTTAACCAAAAAAAAATAAAACAAAGGAAAAGGACTTCTAAATTTCACACTCAGAAGGAAAATTATTCTTTCCAGCCAGTCAGGTTTCATTGTTCTCCTGTAGTGGCAAAATACTGTTCACCAGTTTGGCAGCAGTTACAGGTTTCAGAAATTACATACCTGCTCAGTAGATGCTGAGGGTTTTATATTCAGAGAGCCTCAGTTCAACCATCAAGAGGACTCTCCCAAGGGTATCACTGCAAGCTGCTCAACTGTTTTAAAAAAGAATTAATTAATTAAAGCTACCTTTAAATTGCTGTGCACCCACAGGTGGGCCTAGAGGTAAGGTAGCAGTAACATGGGAAAATGATAGCCCTTTTTAGTGATAACTAAAAAAGTACCAGAACTACTTAGGTGCTTAATACCCCAAGAGGGAGAAATGTTATTACTGGAAAAGAAAGAAAAGAAAAAAAACAAAACAAAAAAACCCTGGGCATTCCTTCCCAACTCTATTGTTTATAGCTCTGAGAACTAACATCCTGCAATCACTTCACATGGCTAACACTTCCAACTCTGCCAGGTATGGGAAAACCCCAGCGAGCCCAACTTCTGCAATCCCCTCTTCTGCCCCAAAATTCCCTTGCTGCTGCGCCCATCCCATGGCACACACCTTGAAGACCATCCCGCCCTCGCCTTGTCCCAGGTTTTGAGCGTTCCTTTGTTACCTTGCTGTGCCCTGGAGCCCCGGGCTGGTCTCTGGCAGCTCAGCTCCCATGCTCTGCAGGGTTTTCTGCAGGGCTGCTCACAGATGGCCGCGGCATTTTATCGGCGCCGCGCGAGGTGAGCACGGACACGATAAGGAAGCGCTAAAAGTCAACGAGGTGCCACTGACAAGGACTGGAGCTGGGCTCTCCCTTCCCCACGGCCCATGTGTGTGGTGACACTGAGCAGCCCAGGCTCCTTCTCACCAGCTGCTGCCTTGGAAGGAGGCACCTTTCGCCCTCTCCTCTCGGTGTGCAGCCTCCTGTCCGTCCGTCCATCCATCCCATCTCCATGGGAAGCTGTCACAACACCAGCCCTGCAGCGAACAAATATTTTCTTATGGAACGCCCAAGGGTTCCTCAGTAAGCATTTAAGAGGTTTTTCCTTGCTCAAACACGTGTCTCCTGGTTGCTTCATGCCTGCCCACCATTCCCTCGCAGGGAGGAAAGATTTGCTGCCTGAAGTGACTTCTTTCCCAGGCAAGCACTCCCGTATGCCTGCAGCAGAGCCCCCAGCAGCATGCCTGGCATACACCCCACAGAGATTAGCCCCCTGCTCAGGCAAGCCCCAAGGCCTGGGAAACCTGCTGTGACTAGCAGCTTGATTAGGACTTGAGTCTTTTTCCACCAGATTTTCAGGGGAAGGTGAACAAGCTCATGAGAAATTTATTTCTGTTGTGCACCCATGGTCCCTGAGCTGAGCCCCACAAAAGAACAGGAGTTTAACCAGCTCACAGGGCAATATATGCTGTTAGAGCAAAAAGATCCTGGACCCATCCTTGCCACAGTGACCATTAACTCCAAATGGCAAGAGCAGAGACAACCCAACTGGCCACAGACTGATTGGAGTGTTTCAAAACAGCCTGAAACTCAGGAATCTGGACCCAAACGTGTACCAAGGACATCCCCTCTACCTGAGCTGACACAGGTGGGGCCCAATGGCTCCAGCAACACTACTCTGGAGAGCAACCAACTCACCACAGCACTGCTACCAGGCAGAGACACACAGCAAACCCCCACAACTCTGCAAGAAGCTAAAAAACTCCCTTGTATTCCCACGGGGTGGGTGTGGTTGGCTCAGCTGCTCCCTTCCTCAGCTGGTGCCAGTGAAGCCCTTATGAGCAGCCTCAGCAGAGACAGCCAGGTCTGAAAAGAAATGTCCAGTTCACCTGCAGGGAGTCCCCCCCTGTGCAAGGCTGAGCTGCACTGAGCATTTAACCAGCTCAGCTGTGAGACGCCTGAATTTGCATTCATAGAGAGAAGAGAGAGTCACTTTTTCTTGGTGTGTCCTTTTTGGAAAACACCTCCTGAGATACCCATGCTTTCTGTTTCTTAGTTATCAAAAAACTATGGGCAAAAAGAGTCTCTCCCTACTCTCTGAGATCCAATACATCTCACCAATGGACCTCACAGGCAGTAGCAGGACAGACAGACCCTCCTGCTCTCTCCCAGGACAGCAGGCACGTAGGGTTTAGGGTGAGAGCTTGCTGTTGGGCCAGGCCAGCCCTCCCCATGCCATACCATGCTTGTGTTGGCAGGCTCTACTTCCCGTGCTGTGAAAAACACATCCAAGGCTCCCAGGAGACTTAAACACGCAGGGATATCACTAAAGGGAGAAGTTTCTTTCCCAGAAGAAACAGATTTCCTATGGGGGAGCTCTGTCACACACTGAGATGTGGATGCTGAGCTGTTTATATTTGCACTGGGGGAAGAGGCTGTGACAGTGTCTGTAACATGTTTTGCTGTAGGGATATCTACTACGTGCAGGAAAGGCCCTGCTCAAACACCTTGTAGATGCTATTTCAGCTTAATTTGAAATAATTTCACCATTGACTGTAATTTCTGTTTCTCCCTCCACTTGTACTCCTCTCTCTGGTTCCTGACAAGCATCCTTAGCTCCTGACTCCTCCATGCTGTCAGTCCTTGAGTGTTTTAGCCCAGAGCCTGGCAAGCTCCTCGTGGACTCCATGGACAGTGGCTGAAGGTCTGCTCCCAGCCCCAGACAGGAGCAGCAAGTTTGCCAGTCTGGCAGGCTTCCCCCCAGCATTTTCACAAGCACTTGCTTACCTTGTTTGAGCTTCAGGGAGTTCAGTTTGGGGTGAAGGGTAGGTCAGCTCTTATCTCACATCTACACGTGCAAACGTAACCCTTCCCGGTTCCCTTTGCAGCTCCAACAGTTCCTGCCCGGCGGCACAGCCAGGACCACGCTCTCCCCCTCTGCTGAGGCCTTTCAGTGGCAGGCAAGCACGGCCAAAGAGCCACAAAGATGTCCTAGGGACCCCCCAGCCCTGGGGAAAATCCTGGAGGTCTCTCAGCTTTCTCCTTCACAGCCTTTGGTGCAGGTGAAGGAGCAGAGCCACTGTTTCTCCTGCCTCACTCCAGGATGGTGAGAGAAGCTCTGGGATGATGCTCAGGGATGACAGGAGCTGGGTGAAACCCCCAAAGAGGATCCTGCAAGGTCCTATGAGATTTCAAAAAGCCTTGCTGGCCCCCTTCTCCTTCTAGAAAATGTTTTTAGTACATCTGAGGTGGATTCAAGGGCTTGAGCTACTGGATCTTGCAGTTTGTTTAAGCAAATATCACTTCTGTCAATTTTCCAAATGTCTGTTCACACACAGACTGTCTTAGCATCCTGCCAGGGCTCTAAACATTCATCTGTGGAGAAATTTTCTGGAAACCTGTGCCTGCATCCCTGTCTTGCCTTCCAACCATTTAACAACCAAATACATAAATATGAGCCCACATGGAAATGTAGGTGTGAAAGAGTGCATTATCTAAAGCCTTGCAGGTGTGTGTGACTCAGGGTGCCCTGCTCAGACCACAGTCACCTTGTCCTGACCACAGCACATCAGCTCCAAGCCCAAACTAGCAAATCATACCCATATTCCTCACTTCTGGATCCACCACAGGACAAAGGCAGCAAAACTGAGTGGGGGTGGTGTGGGAAGGGAATGGTGGAGCAGGCAGAGACATGCGGTCCTGTGTGTTTTCTTTCCTTAAAGATAAAACTCTACCCCAGTCAAATGAGAAATCAGGAACAATGTAGGAATTTTAAAGAGGCCCGAGCTGCCACCTGACTCAGCGTCTGGGCAGGATATTGATTAGCAAGGCCATTCTTTATTCCTCTGCTATTGTTTGAGACTGGCCTCCCCCATGACAGCAACAGGCGTGGGAACACAGCAGCTTTGGTGTTAAAAAGTGCTTTTATCACTGAGCGGAGGACAGGGGGCTCTGGGAACCAGAGATGGTTGTGTCTGATAGTCAAGGGAATGCATTCACACCGAGAACCTTATTCTGGGATCTCTGAGGTCCTGGGGCACACCAGCACCGTGCAGCACATCCCCCATCCACCATTTCTACGGAACCTGTGTTCAGGTTCTGGTGAGTTCAGAGAGCTGCAGGAAGAAAGCACCTGTGCCTGCTAAAAATTCTTGGATTTCTCCTCGAGGTGCAGTAGCTGCTGTGATGGCTGTTCATACCAGACCTTGTTTTTAAAGCAGCCAGGTTGAGTTCTGGAACTTGTGTGGCACAGCACAGAGAACAAGCTCACCACCAATGTCCTTATCCCTCCTCCTGAACAGGTTCCTTGCCATTTTTTTGCAGGTATTTCTTTTCAGGATGGGCTCCAGCCTGCAGTAGCTACCACAATGATGTCAGTAGGTGAGGGCATCTCCTCCTGGTTCAACAGACCAAACAACTGTGGGGTGTTACACATCACTGCCACTTCAATTACCCAGCTGCCTGCAGCCAACCAACAAGCCAACACAAGTCCTGACCAAGTGAACTGACAGACACACAGCTTCCTGGGAGCTCCAGGCAGGAAAAAAAAAGAAAATCTTTTGTTTCTTGTAATTCTCAGTACATTAAAAAGCTCAGTTCAGTACTTGAGCACTTCTGATTTGGCTGAGTAGAGGACAAGCAGTGATCAAGAACCAGGTTTTCAGCCAGCCAAAATATTTCTGGCTGTCCACAGAGCCATACAGTTGGCTCCTGATTTTATATTCTTTGTAGGTTTGTTCTTCATTTGCAAAAAAACCTCACCTATAACCACCTTATATATACACATTGTGGCCCTTATTTTCACCCTTAAGATAAAATTAAAAAATGGAAGTCCTTCAGGTGCTGCCTGGACAAACATCAATATACAAATTCATTTCACAGACACCTCAACTGAAATAGCACAGTGCACTAGGGAGTGGACCTCCAGACAGAGCATGTGCTCTCTGCAGACACAAGATATTTATTCCAGCATCTAGAAATGCTCTGCAACATTGTCATGCAAGAATGCACAGTTTGGTGATAGTGTGACTGCACCAACTTTTTCTGCAGGCTTTCATGCTCCAGTTTCTTTCTTTCCACAAATTTTTCACCTTCCCAAAGTTGAAAAGCAGTCAGGAATCAGCCAAGATTCTCCTCCAATCTGTGACAAGTGGACAACCAAGCTAAACTTAGATGTTTAATAGCTGATGGCTTCCCTTCTACAAAAAGCAGACTTAGTGCATAAATTCTGTTTTTCAAAGCTGGTGGATGTGTTGTCTCAGGACTGACTGCCTCCCTGCCAGCTTGTACTCAGTGCCCAGCACAGATCAGGCCATGCACAGCTTGGGAATTCTGGGGCCCAGAGCTTGGCTCACTCTGCTCATGGATGTACCACAGACACAAAAGGCTGGAGCCACTTGGATCTGCAAAAGCCAACCCTACTCCAGCACTGACCTGCACATCCGTCCAGAGCTACACAAAGTAGCCACTGCATCAGCTCATCAGCTTAGCAGAAGTGTTGATTATGTTCTTATCCACTTATTTAGGCAGCCAGGAGTGGAGGAATCCATCACCTTATCCACTACCAAAAAGCAGTCCAATACATGCAGCACGTTGCAGTTTAAGGGATTTAATGTTCCCTCTCTCCCTGAGCTCAGTGGCATGGTCATACCTTCTTTGTTTACTTTGTGACATTCCTCTTCTTGCAAACCCAGTGTGCTCTCAGACAGTGAAGGTCCATCCAAAACTCACAAACTAAAGGGACCAAGGCACAGGTTCCAGTCTGCTCCCACTGTCATCAGTACTGTTGAACAGTCAGCGTGTTCCCTGACC